GAGCAAACGGTGGAGAGGAAAAACTCCCTGCTAATCAGGAAGAAACCTCCAGCAGAACCAGGCTCAGGACAGGCGGCCATCTGCCTCGACCGGCTGGTTGAGGAACAGGAAAGAAATATAAATAAAAGTATAAAAGTAATGGTTTTAAAACTACTTAAAGTATAAAAGTAATGGTTTTAAAACTACTTAAAGTATAAAAGTAAAAGTGATGAGCACTTAAAAAAAGCCATTAAGGATGAAGGCTTAGGGTCCAATAGTGTACCCCCGCCCCTTTCAATTGTTCTTCTAAAGTCAATAATGAGTATAATATTAAATTAAAATATTAGTGTTAAAACATTTGGAATTAACTGAATAGACTAGTTGTTTCAGCCACGATCGTCTTCATTCTAGGCTCCATCTGCTACAGTTTGTCCTGCTGGATGTGATGTGATTTGTGTCATWCAGCTGTGATGGAGTGAGTTCAATCCAACAGGATGTCAGGATGGTGAATATTTACATTTCTCATCCAACCACAATCAAATTCACTCTKTCCAAGGGCTCCGTGTATCTGAATTGATTAGTATTTAATTATTTTTTGTCTGAACCATGAAAAGATGGAATAAAAACAAATCAAACTTAAATAGAAATGAAATACTTTTTGCATTTTTAAAAAGTAAGGAGTAGAAAGTACAAATAATTGAATTTAAATGTAAGAAGTAAAAAAAAGCAGGGTGAAAAATAATTACTCCACTCAAGTATAAATAACCATAATTTCCATTTAAGTAAATTAAAGTATTTGCTGCAAAGACCAATGTGGCTGAGAGCATCACCCCCTATATACTTTGTATATTTTCATTATTAAATGCATATTTCACATTGTCAGAACTGTTTCGTGGGTAATTGACAAAATGGGGCTACTTTTTTCCCTCCACGTATTATGTGACTTGTTATGCTGCCAACATGTAATTATTTAAAGCCAGGGTTTGGTTTGTTTTACTTCATTTATTTWTTCCTACCTCTCAAAAGCCTGGATAGTGTAGCTTATGAGCGGTCTACCCAGAAACGAACAGAACTGTTTTGGTGTTTGGAGTCCGGTTCTCTCTCCGGTGCCGCCGGCAGGAAGAATCACAGACACCGGGAAGTCTACGATGCGTCCCGCTCTAAGGTGGTCGCTTTTTCCGGCGTCTCCGGTTAGGAAAACCCCGGGACGACAGGGCCTGCCCGGTCCACTGTCACCGCTCTGGGCTTTATGGTGACTGACGTCCATCAGTTTAGGGATGGAGGGGTGTCAAAAAGTATTTTTTTTTTCTTTCCAAAAGCAGAACATCCCTAGCTCGATGGACGGGATGAATGTGAGCATAGCAACATGGATGGAGAAGCGAGAAAACACCGAGGTGAAGCTAATTGTTAGCAACTGATGAACTTCCGCTGGACACTTTCAAAACAAAAGTCTGGGCTTGTTTTTCCTGAAGACCATACAAATCATAAATCATATCAATTATTTCCTTTGATTGGCAGAGTTATTTGGCAAACAATTAAAAGGAAACTAAAGCAAATAAACAGCGTAACAACACGTGATCTTATAAACATTTTTTATTTGTCTTAATTGAGAAGTTTACATGTTTGTGTCTAATCAGAAATCATTAGAAATCTCTATATGTATTGTAGCCTATTACATTTATTTTTATAAGTGAATGTGGGAAATAATAAAGCTCTAAAAAATAATTTATTTTTAATACAAGTTTTTGGTTTATTTTGAAAACAGTGTTGTTTTAGTACATTAGAGCAGAGTTTGTCATATTTGTCATCTGCAGCTGCATAGACTCCTGAATCTGCAGACGTCTCACCATAACATACAGTATTTTTGCWATACAAAGCCTGAACTCAAAGGAAATGATACGCATATTGTTCTTGTGCATTTCAACAGTTCGTGATGCACATGACATTTTGGTAACTCTGCGTTTAAAAACAGATTATTTTTGAATGTTTTTAATATGACTGTGTTTATGGCTTCTCATACATGCAACTTCATGAGCAATGGATTTAGAAAAATCAGAGGWAAAAGATTGATTTATTGAAGAAAAGGTTATTACATCATTGAATGATCAGACCAACAAAATGCTGATTTACCAGGTATGTTTATACACACTCATACATCATATTATTTTACACTGTAAAAACTAATACACGTGGTCATACTTCAAAAGACCAATAGGAATTTAATATATGTACAAATATTTACACTGAATTCTTAAAAGTTCTGTTTGTTTTTACTGGTTTTGATGCATTGGGCTGCAGTTCATCAGCATGCATAATGAGTATTAGAACAAAAACAAAGAGCACCTCAGACTGTACAACCCAACTCTGGTCACATTTTCAAATCAAACGTCCTCAGCATGGCGTCTGGAGTCTCCATCTGTATGTAGAAGCAGCTTCTCCTGTTAGAGAAATAATCCACAACCGTACCCTCCAGATGTGTCAGAGACAAACATCCCAAATGTTTAGAGTCAAGTCTGGACGGTTTCCAGTTCTTAGGGTTCCGTCTCATGCCAGTTTTCCCTCAGACGCTTCTTCCCCGACCTCCTCTTGCTCTTGGATTTGTGTCTGTGCAGGAGCGTTGGCGGCAGCGCCGCCGGATCCTCGAACTTGTTCCCCGACTCGTTGTGCTGCCTCGAGTACCTCTTGCACTTGCAGGARGTGACCACGGTGATCTTGTAGGTTCTCGCGCTGCCGTCCTGGCACTGCAGCCGGATGCGCTGGGTGCGGGTTTTGTCGTTGACGCACCGCCAGTCGTGGTTCGCGTTCCTGCGGGCCCAGAACTTCCTGCCGTGGGCCCCGCCGATCCAGTTCTCGAGCATCTGGGCTGGGAGGCACTCGCCTGCGCACACCAGCTCCTTGATGGGGTTGATGCTGGTGCAGTGGCCGTCAGAGATGTACTTGGTAGACCTCAGCTCTCTGCATCCGATCTGACTAGGGTCTGTGGAGAGACAGAAAACAGGGAAAGAGAATGAAGATGAATGATGTCGAACAGTGCTGGCTCTATTTTGGTGCCCTAGGCGAGTTTTTGCCCCCCGCCCCGAACTATGTCCCACCCACCCCAATTTGAACCCTTAAAAACAAGTTTGACAGTGTAAGGTACAATGGTAAACTTAGATTTATTTGCTCCCCCCACCCCCGCATATGCGAGTTTTACAGATTTTTTGCAAAATTTACGTATTTTTGAGGTTTTTTATACAGGGAAACATCAAAAGAGGTTGACATGTATGGGACAACAAAATACAGACTTGTTGTTATTGAGTTTATCAACAGGAACCGCTAACTGAGAGACACTACTAGCCCCTCCCCCGTCAGAGTGTCGGAGCAGGACGAGTCAGTGCAACGTCAATCAAATGAGAGAGAGGGTGGGGGCGATTGCTGCATTGGGGGGTGATGTTTTATGGGTAGAGTAGTTTATTTTTTCTGTAATACTTAATTATAGTTTTTAAAACAAAGCTAATTGAAAGG